TAATCAAGATTTTTTCCGCACCATAATTTTTTTTATGTCGGGCCCGATTTCTCCCCGAGTGATTTATTTTGACTCGTGGCAAACTTTCTTCCCCCACATTAGTCCCTCCCTCCACCAGTAGTGTTTTTCTATTGGCATGAAGGAAGTGATATCTAGCAAGTCCTGTGACACAATATGAAGAAAGACCGCTCACCGTAGTAGTAATGCATTGATACCCAGAAAAATAAGTAAAATATTATGGGAATTATAGTGTGAGAGTGATACTGATGAACTGGTAGATTCATCGAGTAAATTCGGGTGGTATGTGAGCTTCAGCAATAGTGACCCCGACGAACTAGTCATCACATATAAGTGCTTACAGACCAGGGGGAACGTGAGGCAGAAGTGCGTCTCCATGTGCTGCATATGTACAGGGTAGGAATGTATCACCAAAGTGTACAAGGTGTTTGTGGTGCAGGAGACTCGAGTACAGTAGTGGCGATGATTTGGGTCATAAAGTCATTGAGGAAAAAGATGATATAAAACAACTGTAAATGAACTTTTGTTTGTTTCTCCCTCACCATGTTGATGCCCCAGGCCCATAAACTTGTTTTTCATCATTACTGAAAGATATACAACTATCAGAGGACACCTGTGTTTGGGAAGTACATGGACAAGACAGGTTCCAACAGTATTGTCATGACTCAAATCCACACAACCCCAACCCTATCGTCTCAATCTCCGTTATTATAAAATGAAAATAATGCATAAATATATACTGTGTATACACAATTATTTCAGCTTGATACCTCGTTTTACTTAATTCTCATAAGAAATGGTTTCTGCTATATTGAAAATTAGCTTACAATATCCTCTTAACTATCTACAGGAGTGAGGTACTTCACTGTCTGGTTCCCGAGATATGCTAGACACTGTCAGTTGATTGAAAATGTCCAAAGGAGGGCCACCAGACTGGTGTCTGCACTATGGCACCTCAGTTACCCCGAGAGATTAGAACATCTGCAACGGCCTAGCTTATACTAAAGACAGGCAAGAGAGTGAACCTAATTGAAGGTTATAAACATCTCAGAGGACACTACTCAGCCGAGTGTCCATACCTGGAGTTCAACTAGAGGTTGCAGCTCAAGGATGAAGAAGCCACAAGTCCAGAAAACTGTGAGGGCAAACTTTTTCAGCATGAGAAATGTAAACTCTAAGAACAATCTGCCAGTGTGTTGTGACGGCACCGAATGTGAGCTATTTCAAAACCAGACTTGACCAACACTGGAGCAGGTAAAGATACATTCAGGAGCCAGTGCATGCCCAGTACAGTACTTCCCAACAGTGCTTAACAGAGACGTGACCGACGACCCAGGCGGCTAACAAACCAATCAGTGCTGAAGAGGATGAATTGTACATCACAAGAAGCTGAAGCTGCAAGAATTTAATAGGAATCAATAATAAAAACTGGACCACGCAGCAATACCCCCACCTGGTCACACATGCAATATCTTTCCTCTCATTGTCCGTGGTTCTCACTAGGTGTACAGGGAATTTGATGACACCACTGTAATCAATAAGCAAAAATTTTCTTTTTCATAAGAATATTTTATTAGTTTATTTATTTTTTTAAACCTTTATTTATTCAAGTCAAAGCAAAAAGTCTAACTAAAAAGCTCCAGTCATAAGGACTTTACCAACTCTCCTTCAACTCAAATATATATGTAGAGTAATTGTTCTGTATATTTAGCTGCTAAAATGTCTAACTGGATTCCCTACCTGTCAAAACACCCATTTGAGAAGAAACGTTAACACCTAGCATCATAGTGATCAGTCAATTCTACACCTAACTAACAGCACAGGACACTCATAGTCCTTGAAACATACTGAAGAGAAATGTAAAGAAAAAGATGCAATGACATTCTTCATATAATCTACCATGTACAGTAGAATACAGTACTATACAGTATACGTGTTTCCGACTGGTAGGCTCTCTGTACTCCTGATGATGCGTGTCTGAATCAAAAATGACCGAGCAATTGCAATTTGATGCACGTACAGTACACGTCAAGTATGATGGAGTGTTAATGGCTTCTGATTTTCACAAATTCTAAATCATCAAATCAAGCCACACCAAAGCTTCCTAAGCCCATATCTAACATCACTCCTCATAATCGTGTGAAGATCCTTGGGGCTACTTTCTGTCTGAGAGATGCCTGAACTAGATACTGTACTGTACTCCCAATATCACTGTATGGGCGTTAAGCATGGACTCAGAATGTAAATAAAATAAATTAGATGTGACAGAGAAATATACCAGGTGAAAAGACTTCTTGGAAAACAAAATAACAGAAATGAGTTGTGGAAGCAAAAGAAGTTTTGGACAGAGGGCCAATCAGGGTTTATTATTTGTTTAGGTGGCATGGACATGATGAGAGAATGAAGAACGAAAGATTGGTAAAACATTTCTAATTAAGAAACAGACAATACAATTGAAAGACTGTACAGGAGTTTGAAGGACAGGGGAAAGAAGGGGATGGACACTGAGGAAGCAGCAGTGTTTACATGTAATCAAAGAACTTGATCCTGAGTGGTTTATAAGGAAGAACACCCAGTTGATGGTTGATCCCAGGTTGAGTAAATTCATCACCATTATCAACATTTTGCAGCCATTTCCCATGCTTGTGTGGGTTAGCCACAACAAGGATAAATCTTGGGGCCATGTTATGGAAGGAGAAGCTACAGCAGAACACAATTCTTACAACAGTTAGAGAAAAAAGAAGGCAAAGGATGGGAAAATTGGCATTGCTCCTGATTTGTCACCCTGAGACTTGCATGAGTGCTTTTATTTTTTTAGGGGGGGGGGGTGTAAACAAACATTTCAAAACATTCAAATACAGATCACCTGTATCAATCTAAAGGCCTTTTACCCTCACCCTTCCCCATCCAGTGGCATTTGAAGAACCTGTTTGCACAGCAATAGAAACTTTTATACAGATTTCCAGGTCAGATTATTGTGAGAACAAACCAATAGAAATGGGAGGGATCATCTGTGACATCACCAAGGATGTAACACACAGCTGGGTTTTCTTATAGGCCAGATAATTGTGGGAGCAGAAAAGTCAAGGATCAGCTCAGCTGTGACATCACAATATGGCAACAGATCAAGCACACACACACGCACAGCCTTCCCCCACATCCATCCCATCACCTCACTGGTTGACAGAACACACTGGTTAAACATGTACACTACAGGGAGAGTGAGGAGGGGCCAAGCAACACCTGACAAATTACTATCTTGGTATTTTCCTCTCAAAATATAAACTTGTCTGCCAGGAGAGTGCCAGGCACATGGGCATGAAAATATCACTTGTTAGGCCCCTAATCTTGACACTGCTACTCTGCACAGCCTGCCATAAACAAAATCCACTTATGACCAGAGGGAGTTGTGACCCTACCCTGCCTGTAAGTCCTATATATACAGTAATGCCCAATTTGAATCTATCAAAGTGGATGGTAATAGGAAGGGCATCCAGTGGTAAAGTTGCTTCAAATTTGACACATGACAACTGGGATGCCAGGCCATCAGGTAATCATGTCTAACCCACAGATTCATGGAAAATGGCCTTGGGAAACACAAAGAGCATGACACAGTGCAGGCAACACATGAAAACAGTATGCCAGAAGCAAAAATTTTGGGACACAACCTATACATGTACTGTTGCTTCCACTCCTGCCTTTAACAGCGAACCTGCAGTAGCTAAAAGATTCCCAGTCGACCGTAGGGTATCAATGATAGTGATTCAGTGAACTCATGTGATTCATTGCTCTAATCATAATCACATTAACAAAATGAGAGAAGGCAGTATAACTTAACTGGGTGTCCACTATACAGCGAGGTGATGGTGGATGGAGGGCAGGCGAGCAGGTGGTTAGGGAGGGGGGCTGTGAGTCGAAGGTCCCTCCACCTCACAATATTGTTTTGAAACAAATAATATTGGTTTCATATTGCTTTAGATGAAAGAAATGTCACTTTCAACTATCACAAGTATCAGGCAATAATTTAGAACTTCTTTACACTGGTTCACTCTCAAAATGAGCTCAAATGAATCACATGACGTTTGCTGATTCACAGTCAATGATACCCTTCACTTGGCTGGGAATATTTTACAGCAGTGCCACATCACATGGGAACACCAGGTTCACTGTTAAAGGCAGAGGCAAATGTACCTATTGGATCAGGGTTGGAGCCTTGGTTTGACTGGGGGAGTAGCTGTCTATGCAGCAAGAGACGCCGATTCAATACTACAATATACCTGCCTTCAGTACAGATACTTTTCAAAGAACCCATGAACCATAAAACAATCACGAGGACAGAAAAAAACACAATGGTGAACAGAAAAGAAATGTGAATGAAAATTTAGTGCCATAAGCATTAAAAAAAGACTGTAAAAATTAATTACTGTGGTAGGATCATTGAATACTGTATACTGTATAGAATTCTTCTCAAAACTTTTCAGATGTGATTAAGTTAGAAGACTAAAATATTATCTTGCAATATCTCAATGTTTGAAAAAATACAAACAATGAAACGATACGTACATAGAAATAGACAACTGTTCAATAAATCTTTGAAATTGTGGTCTGAAGACAAATGTAACTAAAAAGCTATCATCATAAATAACTTGGACCAGTGTTCTTCATATAACTGTACTAAACAATGATTCCAACAGCTACCAAGAAATAAATACATTATATATACACACACACAGTATATATAATCTCAAGCAGTCTAACATGCTGTGGCTAAACTACTGTACATGTAGACAAATTTAAATTACCACTAAAACTAGTGTCTACTCAAGAACATAATAATATGCCCATAATGCACTGCAAATATTTGTATTTCTTCTAATATACTTAACAGAAACTTCTCCATCTCTATCAGTATGGCTTCCCTCACATCTACATCAGAGTGGCTCGTGCAAAATAACTAGGTTACTTGTAGGAGCCACGCTTACCCTCTTCCTGGCGCTGGACATCATGGTCCTTGTCCTTGGGTCCTTGCACCAAACTCAGCCGGCCGGCTCCCTTAATAGACCTGAAACACACAACCTTGTCAGATAAGCCAGTTAGAGCACCATCCTGTTTACCAGTTAACTGCAACTCTAGGCATTTAATACACAAATTTCTGAATCAGTCCCATTCACTTTCTATATATGATGTTAATCTGACCTTTCAAATTATGCACCTTAAATATAAACCAATAAGCTATTATAGGATTTAGCCATATACAGTATATATATAATGCTGCAATGACAAAATAAACTTATCTATTTCCATGGGTACAAAAGCTGCCATTAACCATTTTCAATTAATTTTAATTTTCTTTAGAAGTACAAGAAACATTACAGATACCTGTAACTCACATCTTATCTGAATTACTACAGTACAGTATTGTATTTCCTTTTAGTAAGATTAGAAGAGATACTCATAAATGCCCTTTTGGCACAGTGAAGAAATAAAAACTGAATTCATGTTTATAATAATTTTCATAACTAAAGGAAATACCTCACAGTACAGTATAGTATCAGAAATACAGTATCGGGTTCCTTTATATACCTGTACATACAGGTACTCTTGATGAAATATAATTCTACATTTTGCTCCCAATAGTAGAATCTATATGAGCATGTTTGTACTTACTCCTATAAAGCAACGCTCAGTTCCTGGCTTCTGCCCTAACAGGTCTTCAGCTAACTGACAAAAAACATCACTGAGAGGACTAATTTATGGAGGAACAAACGAGAGTATTACTAACTGGAGTAGAAATTGTTGAATGATTCATTATAGCTGAAATCAGAAATAATTAAGGGATGGTTAGGTTAGGTTAAGTTAAGCCACGAGACCATGGCCTACTTACTACTCAATTAAATTCAAAGTTTGTAATGGAAATAGCAAATTACATCTGGAATATTCCTACTAATTGAGATAAGTGCTTTCATATATACTGTACTACACTGTTTCAAGTCAATCTACACACATGGAGCTAAGCTTACGTTATTTCTCTGAAGTACGACCCGTTAATTCTTACACAAGGTTTCAATACTAAGTTTAAGACCTGACCAAAAGAAATTCATGTCACTGACCAAACAAAATTTATTGACTAGAAATATTTTAAAATCCCATAATATAAAAGAAATTTCTGAACTTTCTCTACCCTTGAAAAAAATTACATAACCTCCATCACCTTCAACAACACTTGACATTCTAAAACTTAAGAAACACTTTTAAAAATTTCTTCCATATAAACAAGAACTAGAGAACCCAGGCCAAGGATATACTACACAACTCCCTACATTTAAAACAAATAACAACCCATTTAAAAGTAAGTTTTGGATACAGACCACAATTTGGCCATAGGAAGGGAAAAATCGAGGAATTAAGCCAAATACGAGGATGTCAAGGGAGAGAGAAGGCCAAGACCATCTGTAGGGTTAAAGACATGGTGGAGATGTCCCATAGCTCACTTAGACCATAGCTCCCAAGGTCCTACTTCCTCTTCAAAACACCGCCCTGAAAAAAATTTACTTCACGTGAAACTCTCATTTTCTATGGTAAGAACGCCGTCTACAGACAATGCTCCATATACCGGTATTATTTTATTGTACACGTGGGCCATGATCCCGGGTTCTCTAGTTGAAAATTCTACACAACAACTCCGAGAGGCAGAATGTCAACAATTCATCCCCCGATCTGTGTAACGTTCACACTGATAACACAGCCGTAACCTCTTTTACCACACACAAACAACACTTCACACAAATATCAAATTATAATAAGTACAGCATGTCATCGATATATCACCTTTAAATAATGTATTTGAGCCAAGCCGACGCGTTTTCAGTCTTCAAATACGGAATCCGCGTTCAGCCCAGGGACCTCCAGCCGCCATATTCCTCCACTGAATTGAAATCCAGCGATTGTAACGGCCCGCACGACCATCCACCAGCGCCAAGTTCAAACTCATCAAACCTGTTTCCATTTCCTTTACTTCTAACAACTACAACACCTTACACCAAATAATGCACACTAATAATGTACTTCTATGTTATATTTGGTGAGTTGTATACAATTAAAATTTAGTTAATATATTTTTTTAGATATATATGGAAAATCCCAGACATAAACAATACGTCCACTAAAAACAAACGTTGCACGTGGCAAGAATAGATAAATAAGAAATAGGTGTTGCCTCCAATCTGGTAAAAATCATTCGTTGATCAGTAATTAAAACCATACATCGTGATATCCACCAACTACCGAAGAGAATTTGTGTTTTCTTAAACCATTATATATCAGCGCACAAACAAGCATGAATGCATGAACACCAAGTTTTTTCGATAAATCGAAATCCACTGCCTTTTGAATAACTCATCATGATATTAAAACCCATACCAACCTATGAATCAGACTACTTATTGAAACAGTGGTAAAGTAAACGCTACTGTATTATCCCATTTCGGCTGCATTTTTTTGTGCATTCTGTCACCTCAAGCAAAGTTGCCATCTTATCTTTTCTCGGGAATATGATGTTTGCTGTGTTTTATTATCAAGGATTGTTATATTGTAAAAAATAAAATATATAGGCACTATGCATTTCGCAAAAGTAGACTTTAAATTGGCTGTGTACCCAGTGCTGTAGGCTATTTACAATATTTCTGATCGAAATTTATTTACTTTCACGACTACATTAGCTAGGAAAGTGTCAAAACGAATTTCAGGGGCGGATCCAGGGGGGTGTCCTGGGGGCCCGGACCCCCCTTTTCACCAGAAAATTCCAATACATTTTATTTAATGCAATGTTGTACTCAGGCGTTTTTATCCAGTAAAAAGTAATTATTATTGACCTCAGAATATATCCTGATATCAAGTGTACGTGACATCAAAAGGGCTCCCAAAAGCCAATAATATTAGTTTGATTTCAAAAAATTTCTAGGGGGCTTACAGCGCCCCTCCAATCCCCCAACACCCCCAGCTGGGTGGGCTCGCTGTGCTCGCCATGTTTTCTCACCCACAGTTTCTTGGACCCACAGTGAGCCTCACCCACTCCCCTTTTTTATATTCCTAGATCCTCCCCTGAATTTTATATTTTTTTTTTATCTTTTGGTGATTTGAAATTAATATGCCGACTGAATCTAATCAAATACAACATGGGTTAGAAGATCACCTGTTCGCATCGATAAAAAACATTCTTACCTTCATGTTGACTCCAGCATATCCACTACATTGTAGCCTCGTCTAAATAACTTACCAATGAGCTATAGATTCGCCCATTAGGATGATTTCTTACTAAAATGTACAGGTTCGTCATTATCAATACAGTATTGTGATTATCTGACCTGGAAAAAGTATATTACCAATACAGTACAGCCTATCAAACACGTCACAGGTCATTAGGTACTGTACAGCCTATTAAAGGCCTCACGGGTCACCAGGTATTGTACAACTTATCAAACGCGTCACAGATCACCAGGTATTGTACAGCCTATCAAACGCAACACATGTCACCAGATATTGTACAACCTATCAAACACGTCACAGGTCATTAGGTACTGTACAGTTATTAAACGCATCACAGGTCATCAGGTATTGTACAGCCTATTAAATGCATCACAGGTCACCAAGTTTTGCACAGCCTATCAAACACGTCACAGGTCATTAGGTACTGTACAGCTATTAAACGCATCACAGGTCACCAGGTATTGTACAGCCTATCAAATGCATCACAGGTCACCAGGTATTGTACAGCCTATCAAATGCATCACAGGTCACCAGGTATTGTACAGCCTATCAAATGCATCACAGGTCATCAGGTATTGTACAGCCTATTAAATGCATCACAGGTCACCAGGTATTGCACAGCCTATCAAGCATATCACAGGTCACCAGGTGTTGTACAGCCTATCACACAGGTCAGCGTAAACCTGCACTCTACATACTTGTGTTGAATAAATACGAACGGCAAGATTTTAAGAATAAAAAAAAGTCATGGACAATTGTAAAACAAACAAGAATAAGAACTTGGCATTGGTAATATAAAGCAAGTCAATACCACACCAATTGTTCGTCATACCCTAAAGGAAACGCATATTTTGGTCTGACTATATAAAACTGCCAAAATGCTATTCAAAAGGGTGGTTAATGGTTCATATGATGTGGAATCGACAATAAAAGTACTAGAAAATTACCTTTGATATACAACTGTGATCCTAACCTTTGGCAGAGAATTCAGATTTGGCGTTTTACATTAGACGAAGTCTTCGTCTAGTACAGTGGTTCTCAACCTTGTTTGCCTCATGCACCCCTTTCACCATGTCAGAATGTCATTCCCCCCTCCTTTCCAAGATTGTCTGCCTCAAAAAGTGCATTCCAAATAATATGCATATAATACTGAAAATCCTTTATTTTTCCATATTAGTATCAGTTTCCCCTGAAAACCTGAGGGGGGAAATTCCCCCCTGGTTGAGAACCCCTGGTCGAGTAGCTTCAACAAAACGCCATAATTTATGATTTGAACAGGGAAATGTCTTTACCCAGGTCTACAGAATATCAATGTTACAGTGCGTCCTCTTTTGTGAGTATGAAGTTTAGATGTTAATTCATATTTGAACCAAGGATTCATATTAAATAATATTAAAAAAGAAAACACAATTCGGGCTCTTCAGCATGATGAAATTTAATCATATAATAAAGGCACAGATTATATCTTTCAAATTAGATTGAAATAAAGACGTCTTTCGTTTGACGACAGTACAGTAGTCCAACTAAATATACGTACGTTGGATTCATGTGAATTTTTGCAAAAATGAATAAAATTTATTTACATGAATAATTGTTGCCGTACATACATTTATAGTAGTTATGTTGGATAGGATGCAGATCTATTCCATGTATTTTGTACTTGCAAGTTTTTTGGAAAAAAAATGTGTAATGTATAGAATGAATTGTGGAAGATTTGTAACATATTTTGTTAATAAACTAACTGTATTATCTATACTAATAGTGAATTACAGCAAGTTTTACATATAAGGTTTGAGTATGCTGAACGTGAGATAGAAAGGCTACTTATGCATTTACATGTTAATTTATTTTGATTTATTTACTTCGTATTTCTTTACCTGTATTTCAGTCCAGAGGAATACCTGAAGCTCTCTTCTTACCAATTAATGCCTGATAGTCAATCAGTACTTCCCGGATACGGTACCTGTTCTTTACTACTCTTTAAATATTCGATTGTAAAATTTTTGATTACTCTATTTCTGCTGTGTAATGTTATAAATACCGACATTGACAATGACCAGAGAACTGTACCATTGTTGCCAACTGTTGGTTATTGAATAAAGAAAACCACAACCGAAAAAATACTCTGACTTAATGGCGTAAGAGAATAAAAGAAAAATGTTTAGGGATACATTAATTAAAAGCCCGATTTTATGGACGATCAAATTTGGTAACTGCACTGCGGATCGATTGATTACAACTGTTTTATTTTTTTAGTTTATCAATTACGGATTAAGGTCTGCAGGGTTGCTTACTTTAATGACAAGTTCATGGGATACTGTACTTCAGTAAAAACACTGTTAAAAACTTTTATTTTTTCCCACACTGTAACGTGAAAATTCTTCTCTTACCTAAAAAAATAAATAAAAATGTCACTGCTGGAGTAATTTTCCAAAATGATTAAATTGCAAGAAAATATGGATAATTATTTGCCTGTTTTGCTTAAGAACATAACCACAGGAAGTATTAATATTCATCTTCTGAATGAATTAAGATGGCATTTGGAATTTCCATGGATTACTATACTGAGGGTGAATTAATAGAAACAAGTGCCTATCAACGGAGACGCTGTGCATCATGTCGTGTAGGGAGCACTTGTGAAGCCCACATTACTACAGCTACAGCAAGAACCGTTCCCACCGTAGACCCGTGACCGTACACTTGTGAATAAAGAAAAAAGTAACAACAAAAAAGTTTCATTGACAAGAGACTTTGATAATCTTCGCGCTAGTGTTTTCATATTCAATATGGTGACTTGTTCCTTCATTACAGTCAAATATACTTAAACACCAAATCAATCTGCAATATTTTTTATGCCACGTTGCATTGTGAAAGGATGCGAACGTCTGTGAGAGTTCTGGCAGAGACCGTATATGGCTGAGAGCTGAGTTGGTCTACTGTTCTCAGCACAGACCGTAGCATCACATCCGCTCCCCTCCACTCACGGCTCAACCTGCATACTTAAATGCCAAGAAGTACTGGAAAATACAACTGTTAGAACACATCCTTCATCACGAATTTTATCCTGGTAGATTTTAGTTCACAATTTTCGGTTGCGTTCGTGAAAATTCAGAGCTCATCTCATTTTTTCATAGACCTTTCACGGTGTGTGTGTGTGTGTGTGTGTGTAGAAGCATGTACAGTACTAGTTAATAAACGCCAAATAGAGAACAAGACAGACAGACAGAACCATGACTGCCACACGTGGGTTCACAACCAAGCTGGTCATGGCTTTTTGTCCTTACAGAGGTGGAAAGGCGCGTACGAAAGTATGAAAAGAAATTTAAGATGTTGAGAGCATTCAAACAACATGTTGGTATTGGAAGGAACAGTTTATGTACCTAATGAAAATACCGATATTAGAAGATAGATAAAACGAGTTAGTAAGTGAGGGGGAAATCAGGATTAGTATTAGTTTTGAGGGGTGTATAGTTTCTCGGGAGGAAGGTGGTGCTGAACAAGGAAGGTTTAGCCTCTACCTTCCCCTATACAACGGTTGCTGGGAGAGGGCTGAGGGTGCTACCATGCTCAATGAATGCACACCACACTTCACTTCATGCAACAGCAAATTTCAATGCAATTAGATTACATAAAACAAAGGGAGACGAT